CGTCGTTTACAGTGCAAAACGTTGAGTCATCAATTTGTTCTGCGATTAGTGTACCCCGCTGGTCGTTGCCCAGGTTGGAGTGCCAGAGTTCGTGGTGCGCGTTAAAATCCCCTAGCACTACCCGGTTTTCGCCTTCAAGTAGCGCACTTATGTTCGGGCGGTATCCTGCTGGGCAGCTGGTGGCAGGTGGTATGTACATTTTGACGACTTCTAGCTCAGTATCTCCCGACTTGATTGCCACACCTTGGGCTCAATGTGTGTGTCGTTGGCGGCGATTCGGGGGGTAATGAGCCGGTATTGGACCGCGTTGTGCAATATAAAGGCGATGCCGCCTCGGCCGACGCGAGGGCGGTCTCTTCGGATGACGTTGAACTCATCCTGACTCTGAAGGCTAGAGCCGGAGTGGAGTTTGGTTTCCTGGACCGCCGCGACTGAGATTTTGTTGCGCCTCATGAAGCTGACTATCCCAGCGATCTTGCTTTGTAGTCCGTTGCAATTGAACTGCAATAGTTTGATGGAATTGGGCCTGGTGATGGTTATTCGCGGGGTGAGGGAGTGCTGGCGCGCTGCCTGAACTGCTTGCTGTGCCGGTTGTGTTTGTTGCGGGTGTGGTGGTCCGACCGCTGGTGTTGTTGTTGTTGTTGTAACAGCATACAAATTCCCCAAAGAGATTTTGGGGAGTGTTGCTGGAGTGACAGTCCTTGGCCAGATATAAATCTGGGTCGTTCCGGTTACGTAGACCCGACTGTCGTGGGAACTGGTGTTGTCACCGGTGTTGGTACCGGTGTGGGTGTGACCGTGGGCCGCGGTTGTGGGATTACTGCTGGCGTTGGCATTGGCACAGATGTAGGTGCAGGCGATTGGGGTTGTGTGGTAGCAGAGCAGCAGGCTGCAGTGAAAGCAGCACTTCATGCGTTGCATCTTACTGATGTGGTGTTACGCCTTGTCAGGTTGTTGGGGTAATGGTCCTAGGTCGGAGTGGGTGCTCCGAGTCAATCCGGTAACGTAGAACTGACCATCTTGGGATTAACTTTATCAATGGTTCATTTAGATCATAATTCGTCTAACATAGATCAATCGAAAAAATATCATGTTGGCGTAGCATCTTCATTGGAGCATTGAGTTTAATGCGATCTAATAGAGTGGGGCAGTCGAATTCCCCACTCAGAATATCATGTAAAAACATCAAACCCGAAATAGTCCGCCTACTACGAAGAGTTTGCAAGCTAATCAGCTTGCAGCGAGGTATATATGGTGGAGTAGAATTCTCAAACCTAATTTGAGCCAAACCGAATTTAAAAAAACCTTTTTGTACACGCTCAATCCTGTTATGGTGAACTTCGTAAGAAGGATTCCATATTATAGAGGCATATTCCAGTTTGGACCTGACAAACGTATTATATAAAAGCTTTCTTGTATATGGATCCTTGAATTGAGCACTGTTTCGCTTAATGAAAGCCAATGAGGAGAACGCTTTGGGAATAATGTAATTGATATGTTGTGAACGCTGAATCAAACACGACACCTAGATTCTTAACTTTGGTACTCAACTTCAGGACAACATTTGAAATAGAGTAAGACGGTAGTAAGACGAGACTTGCAATAAGTTACAGAACAACATTTATTTGTATTTAGGGTTGATTTATTACGATAACTGATTGTACAGATTTGTGCATTTTTACATTGGGCTATTGGTACAAAATAAAAAAATTTGGACAATTTTTTTTCTTGTAGTGAGAAGCTTGATACAATACAGCAATCTTGTATTGAAAAATTTCAACAAATTATTTTTCGTGATTGGGATAAAGAAAAGTATTTGGGTATTCATACAATTGGGATACGATTTGCACCAAATTTCGGCAAATTCCCAATCGTGTGACACTGCCTCTAAACTTGTATTTATACGGATGTTTGTAAAGAATACACTATAAAAAACTAACCAAAAAAAAAAATAACAACAAAAATAATATTTTCAAACTTGTCAAAATTTGGTGCGGCTATAATTTTTTTCGACTACTCTACATAAGTTGACTATGATTACTCGGCCGTGCTATCATAGTAGCACAATGCCACTAATATTTAACTTAAAAACAAAATACGGGCAGGCGCTCTAAATTTTCCACCCTGTTTGTGTGAAATATTTTATTTTATCAGTATTTTTCTTTTAATCAATACAGTCAGTCAATAAAGTTTAGGTACAGCGAGTTTTTTACAATACGGGCTGTTGGGTTCGAATATACTAACTTTAAAGATTTAATGGTTGCATGTA